CTAGTGACCCACTAGCAAGATGTTTGCTTCCTGTTTCCATGACTTTATGCTCTGCTGGCCTAGAAGTCTTAGTTGGGGGGGGGGCAGGCTTGTACCAGATAGCACAACAATGAGTCCTTTTAACTGGAAGCTAGGATTTCCCCCGGTCCGTTTGGGCTCCTCATGCTTCTGAGTAAAGAAGAAAAAGGAAAGAAAGAAAGAAGAAAAAAGAAAGAAAAGGAAAGAAAGAAAGAAAGAAAGAAAGAAAGAAAGAAAGAAAGAAAGAAAGAAAGAAAGAAAGAAAATATGGAAAATATGGTATTGACAGGGGTAATTGATCTGGACTATCATGGGAAAATTGGAATATTACTCCACAATGAAGGAAACAAAAACAAAGATGTGTAAGAGAAACCTTAAGGCACCTCCTACTATTACCATGCCCTGTTTTAAAGTCAATAGGAAATAGGCAGGATGGCAGTTGGTCCAGAACCTTCAGGAATAAAGGTACATGCCACCCCACCAGGAAAAGAAAGAGACCTGCTGAGGTGTTTGCTGAAGGCCACGGAAATGCATAATGGGTAGTAGAAAAAGGTAGTTATAAATACCAACCCTGACCCTGTGACCAATTACACAAATGAGGATTGTAATTATAATTGTTCTCTCATGTTTTGTGAATGTGCAATAGTTTTAACATACTGTTTATAGACTTAATACTGGTTCTTGCATGCTTTCAGACTTATATTACAATGTTCAAATTATGAAATGTAAACAAATGTGCTCCCCAATTAACACCTGGGGTGAACTATTAAGTGGTTAAATTATTCTTTCTTTTTTATGTTTAACAATTTTTCTTTTATTAAAAGTTCTCCAAGCAATATAATGGCACAAAATCTAATGCAGTTCTCAGAATTCCATCTCATGGGTCTCTCAGAGGATTCAGACCTCCACTCCATTGTCTTTGGACTGTTCCTGTGCATGTACCTGGTCACGGTTCTCAGAAACCTGGTCATCATCCTGGCCATCATCTCAGACTCCCGCCTCCACACCCCCATGTACTTCTTCCTCTCCAACCTGTCTTTGGCTGACATCGGTTTCATCTCCACAGCAGTCCCAAATATGATTGTGGACATCTGATTATAGAGTAAGGTAATCTCCTATTACCTCTACTATTGTCCCAAGATCATGGACATCCAAACTCACAACAGAGTCATCTCCTATGCAGGATGCCTGACACAGATATCCTTTTTTACGCTGTTTGGATGTTTGGACAGTCTGCTTCTAAGTGTGATGGCCATGACCACTTTGTGGCCATCTGTTACCCCTTGCACCACCAGGTCATTATGAACACTCATCTCTGTGGCTTGTTGGTTTTGATGTCAGATCTCATCAGCCTTTTGGTCTCCCAGATGCATACTTCAACCCTAGGTAACAATTTACCTACTTTAATAATGTGAAAGTTTCTCATTTCTTTTGTGACCCTGCACAAGTCCTCAACCTTGCCTGTTCTGACACCTTCATCAATAATGTAGTCATGTATTTTGTGGGTGCCATCTCTGTTTTTTTTTTTCCCATCTCAGGAATCCTCTTCTCCTACTATAAAATGTTTCCTCCATTCTAAGAGTCCCATCATCAGGTGGGAAGGATAAAACCTTCTCCATCTGTGGGTCTCACCTCTGTGGTTTGCTTATTTTATGGGACAGGGCTTGGGGTGTATCTCATTCCAGCTGTCTCACTTTCTCCAAGAAAGTTTTCAGTGGCCTCAGTAGTGCACACTGTAGTCACCACATGTTTAACCCATTCATTTTCACCCTAAGAAACTGAGACATCAAGAGAGCCACATGGAGGCCCCTCAGAAAGACAGTCTGATTTCATTTGCAGTGAATGTTGGAAAGACTGGAAAATCTCACCTCATTCTTCACAGCATGTTTTAGCTCTTATGGCTTTAATTCTCCTTCATGTTTCATATCTAAATATTGGTTTTTTGGCCTGTCTTTAATGAGATTGTTGGAGCATTCTGTATTCATTGCATTTGTACATTCCTGAATCCTATTATACCTATAGGGCCTTCTCTAGCTTATTGTTAATCATTCAAGCACACTAGAAGATAAAGTCCTTTAAAAGTACCCTTAAAGTAGATATCTTCCTGAAAGAGCTGAAGACATCATATTATAGTGATATGTGCATACCCATCTTTATAGCAGCACAATTCATAATAACT